GAGGCTTGTCCCCTGCCCCACAGCCCCCTGGGCTGGTGGCAAAGAGGTGGGATGTCCCCCGTGACCCCTCAGCATGGAGGGGAGATGGGGGCGGAATATGTTTGCACACCCTTTTCTAGCTCTGATGAGCATCATTGCTTATTCTTAACACTACCTTGCTCTATTTATAGTCCCCAAGGTAATTTTTCTTCATTAGTAAGGCCACAAACTCTGCTCAGGGGGAATCTAACTCTGTCCAGGAGCTCTTATGTTGGGTGGGGGTGTGATGAGATAGAGGAAAATGTCCTCACCTCCAGGAGGGATCTGCTGACGCTACTCTTCCGGCAGCTCAGTGACCTGGTGTGTAGGAAAAACTTTTCTACCCTGGCACGTGCCTGAAATATAAGGCTAAAAAATCATTTGAAAATCCCTTTTTTTTGGGAGGGTTTTTGAAACACTGAGGCAGCAGTGGGGTTGGAAATCCATAATCTTTAAGGTCCTTTCCAACCGTAACCATTCTGTGACTCTTAGCAAGCGCAGACCCTCCCTAATTGATATTTATCTATTATCTAAACAACTCGTTAGCAGACCAAAGCACCGGGGAGGTGTGGTGGCTTGCGAGGGATGTGCAGTGACTCAACAGCGAAGCTGTGGCTACCTCAGAGCCTCCTTGTCACTTCTTTGAAGAAGAAGAGTACAAAGCTGGTGAAGAGGCTAGAGCCCAAGTCTTACAAGGAGCAGCTGAGGGAACTGGGGGTGTTTAGTTTTCAGAAGAAGAAAGCTGAAGGGAGACCTTCTCGCTCTCTGCAACGACCAGAAAGGAGGTTGTAGTAAGGTGGGAGTCGGTCTCTTCTCCCAAGTAACAAGTGCTAGGATAAGAGGAAATGGCCTCTGGTTGCACAAGGGGAGGTTTTGGGTGGATATTAGGAAAAATTTAGTCACCAACAGGGTTATCAAGCACTGGAGTGGGCTGCCCAGGGAAGTGGTGGAGTCACCATCCTGGGTAATATTTAAAAGACGTGTAGATGTGGTGCTTTGGGACGTGGTTTAGTGATGGACTTGGCAGCATTAGGTTAACGATTGGGCTCGCTGATGTTAAAGGTCTTTTCCACCCTGAGTGATTTGGTGCTTTGTGTTTGGGGCTGGTGGTGGCTGTGCTCGGCTACGTGCATGAGCAGACCCTGAGAGACTGCTCTGAAAAGATATCTGGAAATAAAATTAGCGTGTTGTTTTTTTTTTTTTTTAATTAGGCTCCAAAAACAATAATTCAAGCATCCATTTTGGCACATAAAAAAGAGTTTAAAGGGACAAAAGTTGGCTGACAGGGCTAGTGCAGTGTGTGAAGGGTCTGTTGTTGAATCTGTGGTTCAGACCTTTTTTGCTTTCCTGCAGAATCGCTTTTGTTACTGACTTTCATGAGGACTGAGAGAGATATTTAAGTTTTTCCTTCCAGCAGCAGTTATCTGAAATGTGGCCTGTCTGAGCCTGCGTGGAGTGATCGTCCTCATTGCAGCGCCACGAAAACCAGCGCTACGATGCTGTCAGACTCCCGTGGGACTGACAATTAACAGACGCTGTTGTTTTCTTCTTAGGTCTCATAGACAGCCATAAAAACACACATGGGGCTGTGCCGCGACCGCTGCCGTCCATGCCACCAAGGTGGAACAACCCCCGCCAACCTGCCTTCAGTAGAAGGGGGACATTTTTGACCAGGTACCCCCAGCAGGCTTCCAGGGATTTCCAGCCACGCCAGGGTCACTCATGGAGGAAGAAATACTCCCTTGTCAACCGGCCGCTGGGATCGGCATTTGATGTTGGAAGCAGTGACGGTGCTAGCACGTCTTGGGGTTTTGGAAGCCAGGAGGAGAGTCAGGCACCCGAGCCACCAGAATCGTCCACGGAGAGACATGTGGACTTAACCACAGATGGAAATATAGTTGTGGGGATCCAGCTGCCGCAGAGGGCTGGCTCATTCATAGATACGAGAGGTTTTGCTGATGTGGGTTCTCACTGTGAGTCTTCTGGGCTGAAAACGGCAGTCGCTGCTCCAGGTGACAGTAAAAACGTGCAAAAATCTCCATACACAAGCCAAAATGAAGAGAGAAGACACTCTCTCTCCATTTCATTTAGTTCATGTCACCGGTTTGTGAGTTCAGCGTACGTGAGCGTGGCGGATAAACCTCGAACGGTTTGTCTGGCTGGCCATGTGGCCGTGAGCTCCTCTGCCTCCTGTGGAAGCACGAGTGAAAGTGCTGTGACGCTGAAAACGGAGCCGCAGCAACCTTCAGCGTTGCCATCTCACGAGCCATCTCGGCAGTTGGTACGGAGGAAGGTAGTACCGCCAGCTCCAGCTCAGTCTAGTGAGCAAGTCAGGGATGCTTTCAGAGAGCTGAAGCTCCTTGGAAACGGTGAGACGTGCTCTAGACCCGCTCAGGCTGCGACTTCGGTGGTTGGAACGACTCCAACGAGGAGCAGGTTTTCCGTAGTCCCCAAAGCTGGCATTCTCCAAAGAGCTGCATCAACATCCATTTCCAGCAAAACTCTGAAGTTCAGGAAAACTAATTACACGTGGGTGGCAAACCCTGGTAAAAGCTCTCGTACTGTGAAGAGATGGGTCAGCCCTAGAGCTTCTGAAAGCACTAAGAGAATTCCTGGTGGAGCGGACAGAGGCGCTAAGCTATCGTCAAAAGTAGACTTGGGAGCAAAGGTGAAAAAATCGGGATTGCAGTCCAAACTGGGTGTTTCTCCCAGTAAGTATAAGTGGAAAGCTTCCAGCCTGCAGACATCCCCCTCCACATCCAAGTCAGCGTTCAGGTGGAGATCTGAGGATCAGAGAAAGCCTCTGGCCTCCAACCTCCCTCAAGCGGGTGCTGCCCCATCACCTCCAAGCGCTGCGTCTGTTGGTCTCGGCGGGGTGAAATCCTCCTTTGGCGATGCCACACTGTCTGGTTATAAAGTGAAGAGTCGGACAAAAATCATCAAGAGAAAAGGAAGCTTGGGGTAAGTTTCTGCTCATCTTTGGAGCTGTATTGTTGTGCTGGTTGGTGTTTTCTGTCTGTTGGCTTCATGAAAGTCATGGCTATAAATTAAATTCCAATGAGGGTTGTATGTTGGAGGGTATTATTTGCCTTTCTCTTTCCGAGTGTGGTGACTTTATTTTGGGTGTGTGGTGACTTTATTCTGGCTGGAGGCATCCTGCTTTCCAGGGCTGGAAAGCCTCAAGTTTTAATTTTTTAGCAGTTTGTGTAACTCTGAATTTCATCTTTCAAACAGAGCTGGGTTTTTTTTCTCATCTCCCATCCCTGTTCTCTGAAGACTTTGCTGCAGCACTTAGGAGATTCCTCCCTGGCCTGAATAAAGACTAATATTCAAGGGGAAGGAAACAGCTGTCTTCCTTTATGGATTTATTTTCAAAATCTCATAACCTTGTTGCTTTGGGGACTGGGGAAAGGAGGAGAAGTGGCTTAAATTGCTGTATACGTGTATGGTCTGTCCCTGTAAAGCTTTGTGCACAGCCTGGGATGGAGCAGGGATGGGAGGTGAGCTCTGCATGCTGGGAAGTTCCAGAGTTGAGGGAAAACAGATGAGAGATTGAGACCAAACTCTCTGAGAGCCGGTGTGTTGTGGAAATGCTGCGAGGGCTCATTACATTGTGCTCTTGGTGAGAAAAGTGTGTTTTGTGCTGCTTTTCTCGGCAGGGCTGGATGCAAGCCCAGCCTGTGCTGCAGGGAAGAGATAAGAGGGATGGGGTGAAGGTTGGTGGCACAGCTGGGTGACCTCTGCCACTGAACTCGGAGATGCTGGAGCGAGAAAGGAGCCAAACCACGTGTCCACTACGCTGAGGGTAACGCCAAGCCTGAGCCCTTGAAAATTGAGGATTGTGGCCTAAATAACTATTCTAAGTGATGAAATGAGCTGGTAACGTGACACCAATTGAAGATCTGCTGCCTCGATTCCTGCTTCTGTCTTCCAGAGCAGGTGCCTGGAGAAGCTGGGATTGTTTTGGATTTTTTGGCACTCAGGGAGATGAAATCCCTCCCTCATCTTGCTAAAAGACAGCATCCTCTCCCCTGCATCTGTTGAGCAGAAAGCAGAAGGAATGAGCCGAGTTAGGCTGTCAAATACCTCATTCTCCATCTGTGCTTTGCCAGAAATTTGTCACACTTCCCTATTTACTTCCAATTCTCTGTTCTGTGCTTCTTATCCCCCGTGGTTAGGGTAGAAGTGTAGAAGCTTGGTGACCCAGCTTCTCTTCTCAGCTCTGGGCAAAGGAACAAAATGCGTTTCGATCACCTCTCTACTCTTTTCTAACGGTGTGGTGTTCCCCTTCACAGTTCCCCGACAGATAAGAAGAACAGCTCCTCACCCACCACGCCTCTGAAAAGCCACTTCCATCTCAGGAAGAAAACTCCTTCGCGGGGGAAACCTTCCTCGACACCGAAACGTTCTTCACCCAAAGGCCTGGTACACATCACCAAGCACAGGCTCTGCAGGCTGCCGGCCACCAGGATGCAGGTCTCCACCAAGGAAGGTAGGAACAGCCATCCCAAGGGGTGACAGTGCTCACTGACTGGTTCTACTGGAGGCTCTTGGATTTGGAAATGAGTTACCAGGTCCTCCAGGAGGTGAATCTGCTGTTGTTGCTCCTGGAGCAAACATTGAGGAGCAGAATTTTGTCTGGAGTAAGATTTCTGCCTTACCCCAGAGAGGTCTTGTGCTTTGACATCTCCAAACAGAGCCATTTCAAAGCTGCTTCTTGCTTTTAATGTGGTTTTGCTGGATTTCCAGGCATCAAATAGAGAGGTGTTGAAGGAAGGAAGAGGATGGCAGAGGCAGTAATACCATCTGTAAGACTAATCTCTCTTTTTACACTGCGCAAAAGCTTGTGTGTATAGTAAGATACTCCTGTAGCAAATCCAGACCTACCCAACACACCTGTATCCCAGCGCCATGTCTGCAGGTGTGTAGATTTTGTATGTGATTTGCTTAAAATAGCAATAATTAGAGGAATACTGGGTCCATCGTGTTTGTGAACAAGTAGGTCACGTCTGTGCCCTGCTGCCTTGGGTTGGTGATGGTCAGAGCAGAAATCAGCTGCTTGGTGCTTGGAGAGCTGCACCTCTCCAATGTTTTGGGCTCAAAGTCTGGTTTTGGGCCCAAAGTCTGGTTTTGCTATTCAGTGGAGATGTCATAATGAACAAGGGGCTTCATCTCTCTGAGATACAGTTTTCTCAAATATATATAAAGCAAGTTTTGCTTGTGTGCCTGCGCTGCACTTGTTCATGTACGGCAGGATGGCCAGTGACGCTGTGGAAGGTTTGGGCCATGATGAAGCTGCGGTCTGCCTTCAAAAGTAAAGCTGTTGAGCTGCTGTTTTTCAGGAAGATGCTTCTGTGGTTTCCTGTTCTGCACTTCAACTACCGGGCGTACGTACACGTGTGATTGTAGTAATCTCATGTACAAATAGCTCTGTGTTGCAATGTTGTTGTGTTTTGATGGATGAAACAAGAATGGAGGCTTGTGGTTCAGGAAAGGGAAAATCTTCTTGTGAGAGGAGAAAAAAAGATATTTTTCTCTTCATGTGTGTGTTTGAAGAGGGGTTTGGAGGGATGGGGGGAGGACACTGGGAAGAGAATTGTGGATCTGACGCTTTAGGAGGTGGGAAGTGACTCATGGGAGAGGCAGGGTGGGGAGAGTAAGGTGTGTGTTTGTGCAGCATTCCAGCAGTTGCCTGACTTTGAGGCTGAGTCTTGCTCCATTTAAGGATGTCAGCAAATCCTTTCGTGTCTGGAGAGGCACGAAGGCTGCATGTTCAGATGCTCTGTCTTGGAAATTTTCATGGAAGGCGGTAAATATGGTTGGAGGTCTTGGTCATACTTGCACTTTGGTTAATCTTCGAAACCAGAGGTGGTGGATCCAGCATGTGGCCATATCCAGCTGTGATGGTGATGTGAGAGCAACGAGGCTTTTCTTCCGTGGGTGGTGGTGATGTGTGGGATGGGAAACTCAGCCTTTCACCCTCCCAAGAGTGGTCCACTGCTTTTTTCTGGGGTGAATTTAGGACTCAGACCTCACAAGCTGCTTGTTGGGGACCTTCCTATATCACAGCATGTCCAGTATAAGTCACTAAATAAATCTTTATGCTGTAAAGCTCATTTTTGAAGAATTTAATGTGCTTGCTGAGAGCCTGATCTGAGCAGCTCTGCTGTAGGCTGGGGAGATATAGAGCAATTTGGGGTTGCAACAGCATTTTACGTACGAGGAAATTGAGACGCTGCCTGTTACAGGGATATAAACTGTTCGAGTGATCCAGGAACAGGCCTGAGGTTAAACTCCCCATTTAGCCCCGTGGTTTTATGCAGAGCAGAGGCCTTGCTGTAGGTTGCTGTTTTGCCAGTTGACAGGGTTAGCACAAAGGACACAGGCACAAGTTAAAGAAGTAAACTTATTTTTACTTGTGTTTAAAGTGATAAAATAATGAGGAAGATAATACAGTGAAAATAAATTAAAGCAAGATAAGGTAAAGTAGCAAAATAAGTGAACTACTATAGCAAGCATAAAATCCGGTCATGCACCTAGTTGTTACTACATAGAGTTAGTGATAGTGATTGAGAAAGGTACATCACTAATTGCCCTGATCATCCGTTACCATCATCCCGATCCGCAGTCGCTGGGGAGCCCGGTTGCAGCGAGGATTTGAAGAACCCTGCCCAGCATTTGGGAATTCTCTATCCAGTGTGTCCACTGTATACATGAGGCTTCCAAATTTCCCTGCAAACATTCCCTACTTTTACACAGTTGAATAAACAACTTTTTATCTTAAGCTGCGAAAAAACCCATCTGGTGTGGTTTTCTTTTCCTTAACTTCTGTCTCGCGCTTGGTCGGAGCAGGAGAGGGAAGATAATAAGAACAAAAAAACTTGGTAATCTTGATTATGTGTCTCTCAACAAAGTCTGTCACGATTTTTTCACATCCTTTTACTTAGAGGCTTATCTGTTTTTGACAAATGAGGTTACTGTTCCACAATTAGTATCTTTCTGCTGACTAACCTTACACAGCAAGCCTTACAGCAATGTTCTAGAAGCGTTACAACAAAGCTTTTATAAATTGGCGTATATTAATAAGGTAATACACTGCATATGTAATCAATATTATGCATATTAGATATATTGTTAGGTTGTGAGGTTCATCTAGAGGTCAACTTTGGTTCAGGGCCTCACTGCTCAGGCCCTAGTATTTAATTTGCTCAGCTGTGTACATTGTAGAGGAGGTCACAGCGCCGAAGCTGCTGCTTTGGGAAGCCTCCTAGCACCCATCGAAGCTCACCTGTGACTTGCCAAATGTCTCTTCTTTTTAGAAGCTGTCAGTAAAATCGTGTGGCCAACTGAAGCGAAGCTTCACGTAGGTTAAGAATATACAAAATGGATCAAAGTCTTCTTCCCCCCTGGCAGCCTGACAGGCAGCTGCCAAAAACCTGTATCTTTTGGGAACGTACGCTGAATCTCAGTTCCTTGATTGAAGGTAATGTTCCCATAGTGAAAAGATTTTTGATCTTAAACTGCATAGAACTGAAAATATGGAGACGGAGCAGAAATATGGTTGTGGCTTCTGGCTTTGACTAAAGTAGAAGTTTGCAATTAAAAAAGTTCAGAGAAAGTAGGAAAAAAAAGAAAAAGTGTTCTGGAAGTGACGTTGGGAGAGCGTGTATTTCATTCCCTTGTCCAAAAGTGGATCAAATTATCAAACCGTTCCTGACAGATGCTAGCCAAGCCTAGCACAGACAGAACACTGGTTTAGCAGAGTTGTGAGTTGCCCGCGTTGAAGTGACTTTTCCAGTTATTTTCCAGCTTCGCCCTGTGCACTTTTCAGTCTTAGCTCAGAGATGTGGAAACGAGAATCCGCTTTAATGAAACCTGGTGGCTGTGCCTTGTGGCTCTTTTTCTTTGCAAACAGTAGTACCTGCTGTAAGAATGTATCTTTATTTGGTTCTTAAAATTACTAAAAGCAAAAGGAAATATCCTGCTTGCCTTTTCCTGTGTGTATATGTAAGTGTGCACATGTGAGATTTCTCTTCCTCACCTCCTGGTGCCACATATTCTCCCTTTTCCCCTCTCTCCTCCGAGCTAGCAGAAGGAGGGACACTGATGTCTTAGGCGGTAAAGTCCATTTCCCTGCCAAATTTACAAAATGGCTTCTAAATTTCTTTCTTGCTCTCTGCAGCGGAGAGCAAATATACTCTGATAGATCAGCCATCGTTTGCACTGGGAAATGGACTGGCAACTGCCACTGGGATCTGTTCACTTGAAGCTCTGTAAGGACTCCTTAGGCTGCCTTTCTCCTCCCCAGAGAGAGGGAAGGAGAAAAAATGCTGATATCATATGGGTAGGTGGTGACTGGTAATCTAAACTCTGTTGTACCGTCATCTCAGGGCTTCCTGAAGGGCCTAATTTGTTCCTACCCGTGCCATTGGCAACTTTGAGGCAGCCGCTGAGTGTTACTTTGCTTCTTCAGTTAGCAGAAAAATTCAGCAAGAGCCTTGACTGCTTTGAAATTGCAAAATGAATTTTGGCAGGGTTGTTGTGGCTTGCTGGATGTTTGGTTAAGGCTGAGGAGTAACAAGGTGCCTGCCCAACATGTTACAGCTTTTTCCTTCCTCTTGACAGCAGCAGCCTTGCCTTGCATGGAGACCCAGCGACTAAGTCCAGCAGATGTTGGGCTTACCTTCATAAAATCTGTGCATTTGGTTCCTTGGATTGGAATTGAGTTTGTAGGTTTGAATCTTTTATACCTTAAGGCTTTTCTTTGAGAGGCTTCAATCCTAATGTATTTGCAGCTTAATGTGTTGAACTGTTCTCATGCTCTGGGTTTTTATGGCTGTTGAATCATTGCTGAACTGTTCCTACATGTCCTAGGATATTTAAATTATTTTCCTTTTTGGCCAAAGCGCCGTGTGTGGTCTAGTACAAAAAGGTTGTTGGATGCTGCACAGGGCAGGCACATTTTCAAGACAGCATCCCATAGTCTGCTGGGAGAGCCTAGCCACTGGTAAGGCTTGGGGCAGCTCGGACATCACTTGGTGCCCCTAAACGTGTCATTATATATATATAGTGGTTGTTTTTTTCTGGTTTCACAGGAGTCCTATAGTGAGCCTGGAGTAAGTGAAGGCCTGTTGTTTCAATTCCTGGCTTTCAGGTTATCTGAGAGGTTTTTGGGAGGGTTCTTTTTTTTTTTTTTTTTTTTCTTCCCCTCTTCTCTCTGTTTATGCAAAGTGAGGGTGGTGGAGTTTTAAGTCTTGCTGTTTCTCACAAGACAAGTGTGAGGGAAGTAGATGGGGTACAGACGTGTTATCGGGAGCAGAGTGGGGCAGGAATGGTGTGATGGTAAGTCACACCATTGCCTCTCTTGCTGGGGGCAGACTGGTGACAGTCCTGGGCCGGCCAAGTGGCTTATCTCCGATTAGTTTGTCATCTTGAGTCTGGATATGCACAGCCCAGCTAACAAACTGGTTAAAAAGTCGGATGGTTCATACTGGGCTCGTGATCCAACTGGCTAGATGTGGTTGCACTGGAACTTGGATCTGATGGGTGACGAGTGAGCACCCAGCATGCCCGTGTCCCCAGGGAGCTGCGAGATCCTGCGCCGGACACAACAGGGCTGAGGATGGAATGATGGCTGGGGGAGAGCGTGCCCTACTTCATGTACTGCAGTGTGGGTGCAAAAAGCTGGGTCAGCACCTTCCTTCCAGGCTGTTTCAGTGGCGTTGTGACACAGCTTTGCTGTTTGCTTGTTTGTCCTGTTAAGCAGGCTTTTGGGATACATGACGTGAGCTCTGCGGTTTGTTCTGAAGGCACTTGCCTTTCCCAGGTGTGTGACATAAAGGCTTGTCCATCTCCTGACTCTCCAGTTCCCTTTCTGGACCCAAAAGAACCTTTTTGATCACTTGCAGTGGGGCAGCTCTCCAGCCACTGCTGAGACTTGGTTTCAATTTGGTTTTTCCTGATGGTTTGTATTCAGAGGCGCTTGCCTCTGTGGGAATTGCTGTGTTTTCACGTAAGGATCAGTGATCGTACTAGAGAGAAAATAAAAAGTGGCAGACTGGTAGCATTTCTTTTGGGATTATTTGGGCTGCTCTCATGATGAGCATTATACCTGCAGCTGTTATCAGTTAACTCCAAAATACTCATTTGATTAAGTGGAACATTTTAATAATTGCTCAGAAGCGGGGGTATCTCCCAAATTGAAGTTGCTCTGAAGGGACGGTAGAGCAACGAAGCATTTCTAATGCAGTTCATGGTCTGTTCATCCAGGTATTTTAACACAAGGCTTGTGCTGGGGCAGGATGCATGCACCCGAGGAGATCAAGTGCTTGACAAAAGCAGAGAGGCATAGAAAATGTTCTGTTGCTCAGTGGAACCAAATTAATGT